GGAAGCATGTCAAAATCGTGTTAAAATAAAAAAAGAATGTCAACCACATGTAGCTAATATATTTATTTTAAATTTTTTTATTTTTGAGATATTACTAGAAGCGTATGAGGTAGGGTGATATACTTCACCGCCCCATATACCTATATATATGCGCAAAGAACATTCACACCAAATGCAAACGAGAAAGATAGAGCCTCATCTTTCGATTTCACAAACAACAACAACAAAAAATAAACAAAAAATTTGTGTGAGAGATATGGAGAGAGAACCAAAGTTCAAGAGAATATGTGTGTTTTGTGGAAGTAGTCCTGGTAATAAAACCAGTTACAGAGATGCTGCTATCGAACTTGGAACCGAACTGGTAAATTTCCATTGTCAATCTCAGAATTTCTCTATTTTCACTTCTTTATCGTTTCTATTTTTTTCTGAGAAATTGTTTTCCATACATTGGACTTTGATTGAACTGGTAAAAGCTCTGTTTTTCCTCTTACGGTTTGGAAACAGTTGATAATAAAATCTTCCAAGTTTTTGGGAACACTCATATCTTTTTTTTTTTTTGTCCATTTTATAAGCACAGAGATAACATAACACTCCATTTTGTTTTATACAATGTTTCGGTTATTTACTTTTGTTTCATAATTTTTATACTTTTTTGTACAACATTGAAATTTATTTTGTTTGATTCCTCTGTAGTAATAAATTAGTATAGATCAATCAGTTTAGGAAAAAAATTGTGGGAGATTTTTTTTAATTTATACATTTTTTAATCAAATATCCAAAACATATTTTGAAAAGTAATGGAGAAAGAGAAGACTATTTCATTTTCGATACAAAAAAATTATGAGCAGTGAGGCACAAGTTTTTTAAGATACCAGTAAAGTATTATCATTTGTTTGCCGTCTTGAAAGTAATTCATTCGTTTTTTAACATAGGCCTTTTAAATAACAAAAATTGTTTCACAAAGATATGATACTCCGTTTTTCTTATTTTATGTTTTACTCATATATTTTATGTTTTATTTTGATTGATGTTTTTAAGTTTTTATACAAAATTTATTGTGTTTTTTTTGTTTTAACTGTTAGAATTATGCAAATTATTTATTATTTGTAGAATTGTTTTAGAATTGATGATAAAACATGTTTTGTTTTGAAAAAATAAAAAATTAAATGATTTTTTTATTTATGTGTAGAAACCTTAAATATAAAAATAAACGGAGTATGTTTAATGGAGTATATTTTTATGCAAAATTAGTGTAATATTTTTTTGCTTTATCCCTATTAATTATTCCTAATAAATGAAATAATTAATCCACATTTTAAAATACAGTTTCTTATACCTAAAATATTTGTGTATAAATTTAAATATCTAATTTTATGAGTTGTTACATCTAAAAAAAATTAATTTTTCAAAAAAAAAATTTAATTTTTTTCGTTGACCTAAATAAAGATATTACAAATTTACAAGTCTGCTCGGAAACGGGTCTCATCATTTGACTTGTCTTTACTAAAGCATTTAAGCCATTTAGAGTTAGTGGAGTCAACTATTCATATACAAAAAAAAATTCCATTATCTTTTTTTTTTAAATCGTGGGAGTTCCGAACTTTTGACGCATAATATCCTCGATTTCTTGAGACAGTTTTTAGATATTCTGATTTAAAAAATAATTATTTGTCTCAAAGAAGTTTAAACTAAGAGAACAAAGAAATCAATCCTTTTGTGTTACCATCCTGTCATTATCTTCTTTAGATGATGATTTTCTTTTTGTAAGAATATTATCTTCAACTTGTACTTTACCATGGTCAGTGGTAGAAATATAGTTCCAACGCTAAAAAAAAGGATAACATTCAAAAAGTATTTTAGTTGAATTATGATGGGAAACTTCAACTCATTTTTTTGTTTTACCATCTCTTTTTTTTTTTTATGTACTTTCGTGGGTACTTTTACCAGAAAATATGATTATGGAGTTTCCACCTTTATGGTTTTTCTACAACATATTTATCCACTATTAGATGTAGTGTTTTTTATTGGACAATTGTATTTTTCTTTTACTAATTAACGATGACAACAACCACTCAACTAATACTAAAAAACGACTAAAATCAAATGTTGTGTTTGTAGGTATCGAGAAATATCGATCTTGTCTATGGTGGCGGGAGCATAGGTTTAATGGGTTTGATTTCTCAAGCTGTTTACAATGGAGGTCGCCATGTCATCGGGTTAGTTTCTTGAGAACTTTTATAAAATATTACTTTTCAAATGCCACTTTTTAAAAATGTTATATTTTCAAAAAATTTGCAAAAATATTATTTAAAAAAAAAAATTATTATATCATTTATGTTTGGGTTAACTATATTGTATTAGGTTTTAATTTTGAGAGTTCAAGAGGTTTTAGGGGTCAAAACATTTTTTAGGGTTTATAATTTTAAGATTTAACCTTTAAAAATCCATAATTAATG